AATATAGATTATTTAATTACCATTAGATTAGTAGGCTACTGTTATAATTGCTTGTTATATAATTAATCAATCTTTCCCCTATAACTATAAAAGATTTGCTCAAATAAGTTAAAGAATATTGTTTAAAAATATGGAATTATTATATGTTAAGCAGGTGTTTCCCACTGTATCTAGTATCACAACATCATCTGAATACATTTATTATAGATCCAAAATTTTTACAATATTTGTCTTATATTCTGCTGCCATAACATTTATGTACTTTTAAATAAATAAATTCGTTAAAATGCGTTTTAGAATGTTTTATACTTAAACCCAACGAAGGCCCAACGATTCTTTCCTTTGTAGGGCCAACGAATACCAGTTTCCGTTGGGCCAACGTTGGCAAATCGTTAAAATTTCTGCCAACCATTTCCCAACCGTGCCGACAATTTCCCAACGTTGGGCCAACGATGTGTGCAACTTGGGTTACAATTGACAGATCATCCTTTAAATCGTTTACAAAACAAGAACGTCCTGTAATCCACCGACTAGGTGGTCACGAATTGTGGATACGCATGCACTATGGAGTGTGGATACGATATTCCCTGGTGTGGAATATCGTCCGTACTAGTGAGTACTACGACTATCCGCAGCACTATCCTGATAATCATACCAATTCGCTAATACCAAGATAAAAATGTGGTTCGGATTCCACTATAACCTGTAAGTCCCTTAGTTGCCATTAGCTGTGGGCTATTAATTAACAGCTGTGTCTAAGGAATATGTCAGCCTTACTCACTAACAAGACTACAAGATCGCGCCACTCATCCTACACTCTTCTCCATTCATACTTGCTTAAAATACCTACGTTGTATGGACGCCATTTCATTTTAAAGCATTAAGAACACCAATACCACGTTTGTCCTCCAAACTTTGAAAGCAGTTTAAAACCAGGGCTGTTGGTTGCTTGGTCAGGGCCATGTTTGGTTTGAGCCTAAAGCCAAACTCACTAACAGTGTTTAAAAGGTTATTAGTAATCGTCTTCGAGTTAATGGGAAAAATATGAACGAGATGTTTCAAGACCTGCGCGCCATTGGAAACGGAAACGACATCGTTTAGCACCGAACCAGCGACTTTCAGATTTTAAGGCGAGCAAAATACCTATCAATGAGCCATTAAGCACAGATCATGTAATGGGTAGTAATAGTTTAAACGCTTGGTTATCTAACATTTTCCTTGTGGTATTAGCTAAAAATTAGTTTGATTTACGTAATCTTGAATTTTGTATAGCACAAACTTATATCTACTCTAACCTTTCTCATCCTCATGACTTTGGCGCCTTTTCACCAATTGAAAAAAAAGAAACTTATTGTTTTGAATCGAAACGAAACATAACCTCTCCTGTTCTTTCTTCTCTAGCTAGCCAATGCCCAATCAATACTCGACGTTCTGTACCCACGAGCACCTCCACTTCCACATGCACAGTAGTCCTTGGAACAGTTCCTGGGATAACAGCTATTTGTGTAATAGCTTCACTGTAACTCTGTATTGGTCCTGATTAGATAGTTGTTTCATTCAACAGTTGCAGCAGTTGCAAGCAAACTGTGCATTCGGTTTTGGTTTTGTAAAGGAAAAGGTGTTTATTCGTTACTGTTTATTTACTTTTGACTTGAGCTGCTTGAAAAGGTGTTTTATGATTATGAAAATTAAAGTGCTGTGAGTGTGCTGAAGCTGATTTGTTATTAGGTATTGACAATTAAATGTTTTACGTTCATGAATTATTTATTAAGTTTTAAGTGTTCACTTAACCTATATTTTTCGGATTCCTCAAGAAAGAGGGTTAGGTTGAGTTGTGTTTGTGTGTGAATTTGTTAGATTGCAGTTTTTGTAGTGGTAGGTCTAGGTTTATTTTAAGTAAGTTGGGCCTTTCAGTTGAGTTTAGGTCTAAGTTATTGCCTTTGAAATAGTTAAATTAACAACTTATCTATTTATAAGAGTAGGCCTAAGTTAGGCTCTAAATGTCTAAAAAATTATCAATTCATTTTGATTAGTAAATTTATTATTAAATAGATTAGGAAATTATTCAATGAAATGTTCAATTTTCATATCTGAGTCTTAAACAGCACATATTTTAAGTTTCTGCCTTATTTATCCTCGTGGCCAGGTAGGCTACCGGGTATTGTATTCACAATTTTAATAGGGCCTAAGTTTAACTAATTCAATTGATAAAAATAAAATAAAAAACTAATATAAGTTTGATAATCAGTTTAAGGGTGCATGCACTATAGCTAGCTTTTTCATTCAGAGAGAAAGCATTGTATGCCGTGAGCTGTGACTGCACTTGGGAGACCATCATCCGAGGGAAACCTTTGATGATGTACACGAGCTGCCTGGTGGCAAAGTGCGGTGCACGGCTTCAAAGTTTGAAACGATAGATAAGAATGTATGCCTATGTTACGCATAGCTGAGTTTTCAAATTAGGTGGTAGAGCCTAGTTTATGCATGTATTCTTTATTTTAGTTGATTGTTCTTAATGCTTAAGAAATTTATGTATATATGTGAAATTCCTCTATCTTGTTTACAGAAGGATATGGAGAATCCTGGTGGGAATGCCTTATGACTGTTCGTTAATTGTTTGCCTAGACCTGCAACTTTTTACTAGGAAGATATGTCACTCAAAACAAATTTCTAAGAATATATTACGATTAAATAATTTCTTCGGAAAAGCATTTCAGATTAAAGAGGTGCTCTTCTGTCGTAGAGGTGATAACGACCACATAAGGTAGTGTTATGTTGTAGGCTAGGTTATTTTTTACATAAACAATAATCTAACCTAACGTTAATTTATTTACCTACCTTGTTACCTGGCTACTCCCACCCTTTACCCGATCTTGTATTTTGTAATTTTTTTGGATGTTATACTAAATAACTTCTTGATCAGCTTTGTACGTGTTATTAAATTTATGGAAAGTAAATAAAAGTTACGTTTAATAACACTTAAAACATATATTTACCCTTATAATGTTAACTCACAAGATGGTAAATATACATAAAAGATGGATCGGCACTTACCGTACCATCTTTTATGTACAGTATATCTACCGTCTTGTGAGTTAACAGTATAAGTGTAAATATAGCCTATGTTATAAGTGTTATTAGATGTATCTTTTATTTACTTTCCGTTTTTATACCCTCCCCTCACCCCAATATTACTTTTTCTGACACTCTTTTATCCCTACATGTCTCTTTTATCTTTTACTTAGAAATACGCTTAAAAGTGACATAGACAATAGACAAATTTCTTTATTATTATTTCCTTCAAGAAATACAATAGGCCCTAGCGACCTGATTGTTTATATCTCCAATTAGTGAGGCAGACCTATTTTGAGTGCTTTGTTTGCATGGTTTTCCTTAGGCTAAGTTGTATATATTGACGATGCCCACTGCATTTGTACAATGCCTAAAAGAAAAGAAAACCCCATTTTATTACCTCTTGCTTCACAAATATTTTCTGGTCTTCTATCTTTATAAAAAAATAATTTTATATGTTTCAAAGAAAAAAATTGCAAAGGATAAAGTCTAGGTAAACAATTACTGACTGTTCTTAATGCTTAAGAAAGAATTTGTTTGTAAAATTTCTCTTGTTCACAGAAAAAGGCTGCGGAAAATCATGACCAAATCCTGATACGCTGTGACCGCCCTCCCCAGCCATCTTAGAGGAAGGGGGGAGGTGTGTTTAGTGGGTAGTCTGTTTCTGTTAGTCCCACACTACCCTTGCAGGAGCAAGGGTGTGCGTAAATGCATTCACACCTTCCTACCAAAAAAAAAAAAAAAAAAAAATTTATAGGACCTATATATTTAATTAAAATATTTATTACTAGTCACAGTTAATTCAATTGTGGATTGTAAAGAGTGACGATAAATTAATAATTTAACTACCTTAATTAATGGGAGTAACAATTAATTATTAAAATAGGCCTACTCTTCAAGAAAACCTCCCCCCGCCAACCAAGCAAAACCCTGCCGACTAAGCGAATTTCCATTTGTCTAGATTGATTTTCAATCAAATCTATAACATTAGGTTTGAGTACTTAGGTTTGATGCTACAAGGAAACTAATAAAGTGTGTTTTTTAGTAAAATATTAATAGTGTGGTGCCACTACACTTAGCTTAGTATAAAATAAAAAAGAAATTGCCAAGTTTGATTAAAATATGTCCATAAACAAGCAAACAACAGTTTAAAATATTCTCCATAAGAATCACATGGGAATATGAAGTTTACAATTTTTTGAATGATATCCGTTACCATTAACCGTACAAAAAAACTTTGATATATGTAGGCTACTAAGTAAATTATTTATTTTTTTAAGCTCTTTAAAAGGGTCTAGAGAGAAATTGGGAATTTTTTATTTTGTGGGTCAAAAATCAGAAAAACTTTTATCCCATAAAAGCCCGTTCCCATGATCCGATCATGCTGGTTAGTAAACTCATTTAAGTTTATCCCACCTTTACAACTTCAAACCGAAATGTCATCAAAATTGGTGTTTTTGGCCTCTGGGGACATCAAAATGAAAAAGGAAATCGGTCCCGGGTCTAGGTCTTACCGTGCCACCTACATAGCTAACTTACTCCCCTATTGGGAAATTCGCCTAAAACACTGTGATGTAAACATAATTTCTAGCATAAAACATTTTACATATTCATAGATCTATTTACTATTTTTATTTTCCCCAATAAAAATAACCATTTTCGTAGTTACATTGTCCAAGTTGAATTTATTATTTAATCACGTAGGCGTAGACGTACTTCAAATTGGTACAGCTGCTGCTGTCGCTGTCAACTGTAACCACAACTTAAATTCATGGAATAATAACAGTTACAGCGGATAGCTGTGAGAAGCTAATACACATAGGAAGTAACAGTTACCTCGGAAAGTGTTCCAAGAGCTCTGTGGAGGCGGAGGTGCTCGTGGGTACAGAACGTCGAGTCCCAATCAATAGCCTAGCCTCTGCTCTATCTAAATCTAACCACAAGTCCACAACTCAATAAACCTCTAATAAATAACAAACAAGCGAAATATCAATTTTTGTATCATTTACTTTTCCAGTAAATGTGTGTTTGACTTTTCTTTATGATTTAACTGACAGCTTTTCTTGTGAACCATAAAATAGGTAAGGATTAAATTAGTATTTTTAGGCTAGACCTAGGCTACATGGAATTTTGTGAAACCTTTTGAGGACGTTGGCTATGGTAAAAGGCGATTTTATCCACTCCAATAATAAATAAAGTAGCCTTGTTATCTTAATATTAATTAAGTTTTCTGTATTAAGGTGGTAAGTTTGGGTTAAATCCAAAGTAACTTAAAGTGCTAAAACAATTAAAATAGGCTAATGTAAAATTTTAGTTAACTTATGTTTTGTTTACGATTTTATTGATATTTCATGCTCAAATAAAACTACAGTAGACTCCCTCCTGTCTGGACTCCTTGGGACCAAGGCCAGTTCGGATTATGGGTTTTCCGGTTAAACTGACGTCCCCAAAAACTCGTTAAAACGGACTGTTTACTGTGATATTCAACTTAAATTTAGTAGAGCATTGTATTTAGACATGTGATCACTGGTCTTAAATCTTTTCCAACAAAACCCTACGAACCTGGTTTTGGCCTAAGTTAATATTGATACCTACTGTTGATAGGCCTAGTAACAACATTGGCCTAAAAATCGAAAATTCATGTTTTCATCCATTATTTGTACTTATTCATTAATAGGTCTATCTAAGAAAAAACTAAGGATAAAATAAAGAAAAAAGCTTTGTTACCAGCAATGTTTTTGTTATGGTTTTTATTTAAACTTATATGGTATCGGTAGGCTTACAGGTACTTTTGTATTATACGGAGACCACCCAAATAAAGGGCGCGCTACGGCGGTTAGGTTGGGTTAAGTATCATGATTTTTTTCTGACTCATCTGGTATCGTTCGATTCATAACAAAACGAGGAAAGTCCTACCAACATGTGATAACCCAACCTAGCCTAACCGTCGCAGCGCGCTGTAAAGTATGTGGCCTCTGTATAATATGAAAGTACCCTTATGTCATATCGTGAAATTAAATTCCATGCGATATTAGTATTGATCCAGATATTTATCGTTAGGCCTATTCATCCGATAAAATACCGCAGGTTCTCTGAAGAACTGTACCTGGCTAAATTACCTAATGTACAAAGTAACTTAATGGCTTGATTTAAATTTGGCATATTTTACGCAAAAGTTATTATTAGTTGAGTAACTTTTTACCTAGTAACAATTACCACAATTAGGCCTAACTTAGGCTATTTAACACATGTTTCAGCATAATGTCTTCAAGATCAAGAAAACGTCACTCAGGTGGTACACAAGATCTAATGGAAGTTGATACTGGTAAGCAACAAATATTTTAGGTAAATTTTACATTTAAAATCTCTGGAATACTGATGGAGTTACTGTTTATATTTGTTTGCCTAAGTGTGTATGTAGGCCTATACACATAACCAAATCAAATCAAATATATCTTCATTGCCTGTTAAACATTCTTGTAGTTTACATAATCTCTTACACTAACTTATAAAAACTATTATCTACTTGAAACAATTTAAGTTTACTTTTGAATTCCCTAATATCACTTACCGACTTAAGTTTATTTGGCAGTGAGATAGTATTGTTGCATTATAAAAGACCTGGTTTTTGAAAAAGAAGTTTTTGTGGTAGGCTATGGATTGTTAAAACTGGATTTTTTTCTGATGTTGCAATTGGATTTGGAAAGCTCAAAACAATTATGGTTTTGTTTTAAAAACATCAAGGTAGGTATTTAAAATGTAAATGCAACAAAAAATAAGGAGTCTTAATTTTACAAAGGCTAATCTACAAGTCCCTCTCCGCAATGTCACAGCCTTCTTCTGCAGCGCAAAGATGTGCTTTGTTGTTGGCGTTTCAGATCCCCAGAGATATAGTATAAGACACTATGGTGTTGTCACGCCATCAAATCGTAGTAAAAAATAACATAAAATAAACTATGGTTAACAGATAAAGTAAGCACAGTTAGCAGCATTGTTAGTACTTGCTTTTTGTGATTATGCATACCAAAATGTTAACAGGCTTATACTGTAAATCAAACCAAGAATATAACCATTATATAACTCATATTTAAAAAGTTTTAATATCTCGGTAATTTTTCAATTTTACCAGCTGTTTTATTTCACATTTTGTTAACAATGTTTATGTAAACATAACAATGGATTTTCTCCGTGTCCCTGTGTAACCAGAGGTGACTTTCTTTTTAATTCTTAAATCTAGTTGTGTTTTTATTTTTTTCAGATGGTTCATTATCTGACGAACATCAGCTGTTGTTGCAATACCTGATGCATGCAAGAATGTCGAAGAAGATGGACGTTTCTAGAATCCATGGAAAACTGTTCAATGACAGTGAAAATTTAAAAGAATCTCTAAAAATAATAACATCTAAAATCAATGCTTTGAAAATGGACATTAAAAGTGTCTGTTGCGACGTAAGCGGTGAAACTTACTTTGTTCTCATCCACTCGACAGGAGAATCATTTTTTCCAAAGAGTTGCATGTTTAGCCAGTCTCAGCTTGAGTTCCTGAAGAAGCTGTTGATTGGCATTGTGCTTTCTGAGAGTGGCATGATAGGAAAGATAGCAGCACTCAACAGCTGTACTACACTTTCCAAGATGGAAGCTGACAACACGTTGAGACAGTTCGTGAAGGATAAAATATTTCTGGAACTACCCGAAGGGAAGTTGGCGCTTTCACCTTTGGCTATTGTGGAATTTGAACCTTTTTTCAGAGCTTCGCTAGAAGACAACCTACAGTCATGTGAGTTGTGCAGACAATTGGTGTTTTTTGGTAAGGTTTGTCCAAATTGTGATCAGAAGTTTCACCGACATTGTGTTTACAAGTGGTTAGAAAGTGGTCACAGTGACTGTTCGAAATGCAAAGAGCAATGGGATGACGGTATGCTGACGGAGACTGAATAAACCGTTGTAAGTTTGTTGTTTTTATTTCATAGATGTATGACTAATATGTGTAATGTATATGAAGTATACCTTTTTATACAGTAATTTAATGTATTTTAACTATTTGAAATAAATTTGAATTTTCAAAGGTTTTCAGTCGTTTAGTAGACCTAGTGTTTCAGGATTTTCTTTCCAGCTGTCTAAGTATTTGGTAGAAACGCCAACAAGTTATCAACTAATTTTTTGTTATATTTAGTATGACCTATATCATATTGCATAATAATTTAATTTTTTTAAATCAAATTTTCAGCAAACGTTGAAACAAATCTAAGTTAAGGGGAGTCTGACGTGTCATTTAACGCAATGTTAATTTTGCTATTTTTAGGTACACTTTACTAGAAAACTGTTACATCTAGGGACTTGAAAATTTTTACATGTATTATACACATATTTGTCTATATTGTGAACCTCTCCGTTATTTTTTATTCCCCTTGGTTCTACAGAAATTAATTTTTTTAATATTGTTTAAAAAAAGCACTTTTTTGAAACATATTTTTCTTTTTAAAATATTAATTAATGTTAATTACAGAGTTAAAATAGGTTCACAATGTTCATTATAACAACAATAAACTATGGTAAAAATTTGAATACTCTATCTCAAATAGTTTTCGAGAAAAGTGTACCTAAATGTTAAAAAATTGAGTTCTCGGGAAATTTAAGTTAAAGTCTAAGCTAGGTAAGAACTAGGTAAGAAAAGTACCACATACCCATTAAATATCAGCTATCCCAGGTCCATATACTTCCTCCTCTTCTTCCTCCTCCTCTAGTTTCCTTTTAAGATTTCTGTTAGCTTGTCTGGCTTTTTTCTCCATTTCCTCTGTACTTTTGTCGGCTTTTCTGCGCCTAACTTCGTCGAGTATCTTGAGGCCGAGAACGGAGTTAGCACCAGCATCACTGAACAGTTCTTGGAGAACCTTCACCCTACCTAGGTATCCTGTATTGTAGGTTACCACAGCATCCCACACTCCTACTTGCAAAGTCTCCAGTCCCACAAAAACCCGTTTTGGAAGCCGAGACCATACTACGTTGTTGAATGATTCGTTCGGGTTTTGTGTTTTGCCATGAAGGCACTTTCTCAGCAGGTTTTTGTTTGAGAGATCCCTATATACAGGTTTTATACACTCCATGACTGCTTGTGGGATGCTTTTGATATGCCTGTATGGTTCTTTGGTAACCAACGACCTTTGAAAACCACACCATGAATCTTTCCCAGGCGGACACAGGCCGTGGTCTGGGTTTTCGTCAGTTGATAATCTGTGATAGTACGTAGCCCAAACAGATCTGTACATATTGTCAATGTTATCAGTGTTACGCCTTATGGCTAGGCCATAATATGTCTGCAGTTCGTCAATTACGTTTAATGTAAGCCGATTCTTACCGGTTAGTCGTTTTCCGTCTACCAAATCCCCTTTGGTTTCTCTTCACATTTTTCTCAGCCGCGTTCCCATGCGCTTTTGTATATGGCCTACACACTCCTGCTTCACAATTTCAATTTCACCATAAGGTTTCAATTCAGTAACACTTTGAAAACTTTTACTGTCTCCATCTCCTAGGTAAGTGGTATAGCGCACTCCGTTTTGTTCCAACGATCGTAGAAAAATATTATGCACACCGACTATCTCCATCCCTCCACTTGATCCAGAATAATTTGATATGCAGACATGTTCATTTTTCTCTCTCAAGTGACATTTAGGGCAATATTTGCTTAGGCATTCTACATCCATCACCTTTCCAGTCACCATGTTAGTAACAGAAACAATGCCATTCTTAGATATATGCCCGCGTTTTTGCCAGCTTCCATCAAAAGCCGCAGTAATGTTTATATCCCCATCATTGTCTGTTATGGCCTCACGAGCAGCAATCTGCATGGATTCAATAGCTACTTTCTTTGTGGCTTGAGCCAGAGGTTTGTTGTAGATCTGAAACCTTTTTGGGGGCCTCGGTAAATTCATAATTGCACACAGGGCTTCGGCAGCTGTTTGGCCCTTGCCGATTGTACGCATTCCGTAGGCTAGCCTAACATTGACCTCATGGGCTATCATAGGCCTAGACCTTCCCTCAATATTGATATTTGTAGGCCTACTTGTATTGAAATTGCTATGATACCCACAAGTACTGCAGGACATTTCTAACTTAGATGCTAACCCTTTACGAAATTCAGTAAGTTCGAATATTTCAACCGAACTCGAGTTACATTTTTTGCAGCAGAGCTGCTTCACAATATCATTTAGAACTGATAGATCAATAATTATGTTTCCCTTCTGGCTTTTATCAGGCAAATAATCAGTCTTCTTACCCATCATTGATAAATAGATCAATTTCCTTCTTGATGTTGACTGTTTGACATTGTCATCAGGCATAGGTCTAGTTTCAAAACAATCATTGTTCCCTTGGTTACCTGGAGTTTGATTATTTTGTTTTGGTGTTGGTGTATATTGGTTTCCAAGGTATTTCCTTTTATTGAATTTCTTGATACGAGGCATATTCCTAATCCAATTTCACAGCACAAACACAATAAAATCACAAGAACCAGAATAACCACAATCTCAAATCAACAAATGTAAACAAACATTCTGTTTACTATTTATATCAGAAACACAGCTGACAGCTGATGATATTTAGTATTTTGGAAGCATAGAGATCAACTTGCAGGTTAGCCAACACAAGTAATCCTTGAAATAAAATCCTGGGTAAATTGGTTAGTAGTATGTAACAAAATGTTAGTTCCAAACGAGGATTTTGGACCTCAAAAAAGAGGTGCATCGTTTAGGATAATTATTTTTTATTATACTAAATAACCTTCAAATATATATGTTTTATATGTCAAATTACTCAGAATGAGTAGTAGAATCATTATATATAATAATCTTAAAATTTTAAAATTTTTGAAAATTTCGTGTCAGACTCCCCTTAAACAATATGACCAGTAGACTGGTCAGCCAAGCACAAAGGGTTTATAAATAGGCCTACAGTACACATAATTACTTACTCCCATGGCTGTGGATACCCTAGAGGTAGTATTTGAATAGGAATAAAATATTGAAAAAGAAATCGAGGTCGTACACAAAACCCTGCTTTGATTAACTACCTATATATTAATTTATTGGTTTAAAAAAGCTTTGCCGGTATGGAAAGAAAATAATGAATGAATCTTTTACTAAACATACATTAATCAGGTCCAAATCACTTATTATGCCACAGAGACATGCCTTTGGTAGGATCGATGAGTGTGTTCCTGTTTATATACTTAGACCCATGTCTCTGAACGTAACGCTTCAGTAAGTTGAGCTTCATGTGGTTAACTTCCAACACTTCGAGTTCTGTTGCGAGCCGATTAACATGTTTCTGCAAAGAAGCCTCATCTGTCGGCCAAGATGCAATCGCTGCGTCAAGGTTGAAAGAATCAGTAGATCTCTGAATGGATAGAACGTCTTCTTGCTCCTGCAAAAGATTCAAGATAAATGAATGAATGGTTTATTCCACATACAAATTGCTACATGATACAAATTATTACAATGACTAAGTCTACACTAACTATAAGTAGGCCTACTACGAGATTTAAACTTGTAGTAGAATCCCTTTCATTTAGATAGCCTATCTCAATAGAAAAACAGTTGTCCAAACTTAAACTCTAAGATGTCGTACCATCAGAAGTTAGTATAAAAATAAATGCATGGCCTGCTTTTAAAACATTATCTAGATGCAAAATGAGTGAATTACAGTACTAAATTTAACAATAAAAATACAGCAAAATGTCTCAACATTACAGTAGACTCCCTCTTATCCGGACACCTTTTAACCGGACATCGGTTTAACCGGACTACACTCAGCGGAAATGACATCTCTTTAACCGGAAAATTTTTATCAGCACATCGTCTTAACCGGACCAGAATGGCAGGAAGTGGGCAGTACTGAAACGACTATTCTCGTGGGAAAGATTTGAGACCAGCAATCACTTGTATAAATACAATGCTCTCCTAAATTTAAGTCAAATACTGTATACATTATGCATTTAAACGGTCCATTTAAAAAATTTTTTGGGGACGTCGGTTTAACCGGAAAACCCGTTATCCGGACTGGCATCGGTCCCGAGGAGTCCGGATAAGAGGGAGTCTACTGTACGTACTTTAGTATAAAGGTGGGTCCGATCATGCGGTGTTTGCCAAGCACTGAATATTCTACAAGTGGCGAGCTACTGTGTTGTTATTTGATGTCCCCACATTTTCTGTTATCACTTTCAAATCCAAACAGTCTGTTACCTGCGGGTATAGCGAATATTCGTCAAAAGCTACTAGCACTGACGTTCGTCGAATAACGATTAGATGAACGCCCATCCTCACTAGTTGTGATTCGGCGAGTAACTGCTCATTGAGTAATGCTGTGTGAGGGAAACAGGTAGTGACTTGTTAGGTTATAAAATGTGTATTTGGACATAGTGGGACTTAATTAGTTTAGTTTAGACATTAGTTTAGACTAAACCAGTTTGAAGTAGCCTAGGGCCTATTGTATTTAGGCATTTCAAAACTTAAGTTTATTTTACATAGCCTATATTTGTTGTATGGCTGGATTAACAAAAGATGTGGAAAAGGTATAGAAATCTTTAAATTTGCCTATCGATTAGGCCTATTAGATCCACCAACAAAACTTACTGGTGCTGTATGTTAAATGTTTTTGTTAGCCAAATTTCAAGTAAAATTAGGTAGATTTCTTTGATGTTAGTGCTGTTCTCGGTTGGTAGGCTATATGGTAATCTTTGTTGAAAGTCCAAAAAATGTTTTGGTTCTTTACTATATGGGTAAATTTAACTAGGGATTTAGTTTGCAGCATATTACAGATTTTTTGTCCACTTTAGATGTATATAGTCTACAACGGATTTTATTGGTAGCAATGTTTCAGTGGAAAAACACCCAAATGCCTCCACTCACTTTAGCTTTTAGCCATCAATGAGCAGTTGAAGTTTGTGAAACATATTTTGTAGTATTAGATAATATCTGTATACATTAAATGTAAAATAAAATCATACCAAGGTCAAACTAGACACTTCCACAACTTCTGGGGTCTCGTCTAACTCTGACAAACGGCTTATTCTCAACGACCTCGGCAAAACAAAGGAAACAGTTTTTTCCACAATACTTCTTCTTATAACCTCAGACAATCTTTGTTCCTCCCTCTTTAAAGAGTGGTTTTCCAACATCAATGCCGTTATGGTATTTTTCAAATAGTCAATTCTACTTTCTAACAAACAAATGGAATTTTTCATCCCATTGTTCTCATTCTCCAAGTTTAAAATAACATTTAACAAAGCTTCTTTTCCTTCCACAGTATTTTTTATTACAAATTGTATTATTTTATTATCTAGCTCGTCTTTCTCTGCATGCAAACTAGATAAAACCGTATCCAACTCTGAATATGCCGATACGGGTTCGTTTTGGTTTTTTAAAAGCTGTAAATCGCTGATTTTTTTGTTTACGTCAGCGTGATATGAGCTCAAGTCACCGAGGAGATCGTAAATTAGTGCAATGGATTTTGTCTTCTTTAACTGTTGTCCTGTTGATGAAGTATCATCAGTAAAGTCACTTTGTTCAAATGTCACTTGTTTCTTAAGTGTTTCCGTTTTGAGTTGTGTTTCCTCTTTCATGTTTTTTAAAAAGTTTTGTATCAGTTGTTTGCGTTGTCTGTAGAGTACACCTAATTCTTCATAGAATTCAACAAAGGAATTTAATCTTCCCTCAAGCTTGATAAGTCGTTCTAAAAGTTCTTGATGGCCTTCTACTTGAAATTTGTCCTAGAATGATTTTATACTTATATTTTATATAATTTTAAACATTGTTAAGCTACCAATACCCAACCATTTTAGATATCTACAGGTATGTCAATAAAACATTTCTAACATCTCTTTGGAGACGTAATGTGTCTGACTGATCAAGGTAGATTTATGCCCTAAGTTATTTAATTAGTAGATTAAATTCAAGTCAAAATTGTAAATGTTCATAGAATTGGCTGTTTCTATTAGGGATCATCAAAAGAGTTTTCAATGTTTCTGTCTAAAAACCTGGACATTATCGTTAGAAATTAAAAGATTAATAGCAGATTCAAAGCAAATCTGTTATGATTTTACTGCTTAGTGTATAAACACAACAAATAATGTTTAATGTGATTTCCAGGATATGACCAGGGACTGTGACGTACAATTAAATAATGTCTCTACTACAACAATACTTTTGTGGTTATGCACTCTGAATATAATTTGAGTAGAGGATGAAATTATATAATTCGAGTGGATACTACTGTACAAAATTGTTGTTTGATTGGCTGGAATAGTTTATTTAAATTCTTCTAAAATTGCTATGTATCGGTATTCGGTACAGTGTTAGTATTTTTAAATTTTCATATGGGTTGAAAGTATTCATAAAGGTTAAAATTCATTGTAAAAGCAAAAATTAAAGATAAAAATAAAACATATTTGAAATATTTAAACAGTAACAATATTAAAACTTGAAGCTGAAAATCTTTTTTATAATTAGCCCCAATTCTGGTTGTGTTATCTTTTAAAATACGAGTAAAGATAGGTTACATACCATTTGGTTGACCAATAAATGTTTCCTTTGCCCAATGAATATTCACAGCAAGAACTGTAGTTGATTGACAATGACTGCAACCTTAACCTTTACACAGCTCTGTTTATCATTGTTTGATTACGGACTGATTTTCACTAAACAATGTTCAATACTTTTTTTCTAAATTAAGCAAAATAAAAACTATTTTTGTTCTGATCAAGTACTAATTTAACTAATCATGAAAATTTAATGACAATAATATGATTTAAAACAGTGATATGGGAAATGTTTGTCAACACTGAAAATCCATTCACACAATAATTCGCACATCACTTATGTATATTGAAATATTTCAACTCAGCTGTTAGGTCAAAATTTAATTCGGTATTAATTTTCCACTTTCAGAATGTTTTTTTGTTTGTAAATAATCTTATAATAAAATCTGGAAAAATTCTATTAATTTATGTTTTCAAGATTCAAAAAGATCTACAAAAAGTTTGCTCATGAGGGCCAAGCTGTGTCAAAAATTGGTTTCATGTTAAATTTCTTGACAATAAAAAAAATTAAGGTTTTATGTTAAAACTCGAATGTACTGTATTTCACCCGGCATACTATGGTTTTTTAGTTAGAAATGGTCAATTACAAAATATACGAGAGGTATGAAATATAGCCTACTTAAACAAAACATAAAGTAGGCTATAGTGCCCTTAAATTTGGTTCAGCCAGGTTTGATCAATATTTCAAATTATCAATCAATTATTTGATGGGGACGCCACTGTGCGTATTTTAACCCAAATATGAGTGGCGGGATCTTGTAGTCTTGTTAGTGACTAAGGTGGACATGTTCCTTAGACACAGCTGTTACAGTAATCTATATAGTATATAAAATTTTTTATAAAATACATTAGGTGCTTTAAACAGCTGTTGCAAGCTGTCTATTTTCATGAGGGTTACTCTATACATTTTCTTGATTACAAAAATTATGGAATTTAAACTACCATTGTGGGTAGGCTATTTTATTGTAGACAAGTTACAAAGTTTTGAATCACTTGTTTCAGTACCATCATCTTGATCCCTAATTTACTGATCAAATAAACTAACTTAAATCACTTTATATTTAAATGGAGTGGAGGAGGGGATGTAAAAAGCTGAAGGCAAAAAAAGTTATATTTCCACATATAAAATTGAACATCGTTACGTGAATACAAATATAACACAGGCGAGGGTCAGCAGGATTCCGAACGAGATTGCTACGATTCCAGACAGTCCAAGGTAGAGGAATAAGTTGTGAGCCTCTTCGGACAACTCATCTAGCAACAGTCAAAAACATGGTACAAGTCACAAGTGGTTCAAGTGTGGTAAATTAAAATCCAATTTTAAAATACAAAACATGACTAACATATGTATATTGTCCTCATTCGCTAATCCACAACGGGGTCAAATATACAAGAGAGTGTCTTATCAGTCATTTTGATATCATGAATGTTTTGGTTTTGTCAACTAACTGCATTCCAATTGTTTTCTTTACCTTCATGTTTGGTTTCCTCTTGCTTTGCCAAAAACGTTCGCAGTCTTGTTTCATTGAGCACACATTCAGAGGTGTAAGCATCTAACTCGATCCAGTCGTGGAATCTGGAAAAGTTATTAGACTACTTTAATTGCAGTCCCTTTATAGTTGGAGAAATTTTTGACAGATTAGTAAACCATATAAAAACTCTTTTTTGTTCATGTAAAAAGGAAATTTTTCTATAACACAAGCTCTATAGCCATAACAGTATACTCTAAAATATTGATCGAGCACATTATATCTATGGAGTTAGACAGCCGATTTTACATTACTACAGAAAACTCTTTGTTTTATGGCATGACTCACACATTCAATCACATCATTCACTGAATTCTCTGTCTTCGGTGAGAGCCTCGTCAAGTTTGTACAAAGTGGTTTTAGGGTAGGCTAAATACCGACTTGACGCAGCTCTCAACAGAGGACCGAACATTCAGTGATTATTTTTGTTAGATGTTCATTTTGAGTTTTAAAATTATTACTTTGATGGTTTCAATTTTTATATAATTCAGACTAAAATATGGTCCAAATGTGTTTGAATGAGAGGGAATCTTACTGTCTTGCCAGAAAAAAAATAGTATGAAGTTTGAAATACACACAAATACCTTTGTCCCTAAGTGTCACTTAATATGTAGGATAATATGTATACCTTAAAACTGCATTTATCTGATCCATCATCCATGAGTCTTATTATTAATCCAAAAGGGGGTGTGTTTAATCTATTGTATTAGTATCCAGGCTACTCAAAAATACCCAACAGTGATTGAGTTAGCTTTGTTTGAGCAATTATACTTGGGAGGCTTACTGATCACATTGACACGTAGCCTCAGGTTGTGGGCAGATCATGCGGAAGTCAATGCATTCATCATGATTGACACATGCTTCTCCGTACTTCCGAGTATCTGTAGACAAACAACGTCTCAAAGATTTACCAATCAAACTGATAATGGCATATCCCATTACTTTACTTCCCTAATAATAGTAAATTTTAGAAAAAAATTTAAAAAAGAATTCTGTTGTACTTGATTTTTTGAACAATTGTTTGGGCATAAAAAAAGTACTTGGCCCATGTGAGAATTCATTAGTTCCATTTGTTTGACGTAAACAAATCTTAGGACTTAGAAAAAATAATAACGTGGGATATTAGTTAAAAAATCAAACAAAGAAGTAAAAATAAAATGTTTTGAACTCTTAAGGCCGGCCACACACAGAACCGGGCAGGGCAGGGCACGACAAGACACCTGACTTGCCTTGTCCTGGTGCTGTCACACACAGAACGAGGCAGGGCACGTCAAGTAAAAAGTTTAGCCCACGTAAACCAGAAAATTCATATAGGATTTTTTATTTCTGAGCCTTGAGCCGATTTAGCCAACTTTTTAATTTGACTTTATACTTGGGAGCAGAATAGAAAACAAAATTCAATGTCATACCATAGACAAAAAGAATTAAATATAGACCGTCAGCTGTGCTGCGGTTACCATAGGTTCTGGCGCACACCGCTTGGAGCACCACCGTAGTTACGGCGTACGCGCTACGTAAACTGCAGCGGTGTGCGCCGGAACCTATGGTAACCATGGCAACCGCAGCACGGCTGACAGTCTATATTTAATTCTTTTTGTCTATGGTCATACCCCCAGAGGAGTGGTTTTTGAAACCCTTAATATGTATGTTAAAATAAAATAATAATAATATGTATTGTTGAAATAATGAATAAACCTTTTACAAATTCTAAGGCTTTATTTGAGTAAAAACCAACATTACAGAACAACACAAATGAACAAGTTAAATTTGCATGGTAACCAGGACAGCTGATCAAAGTTGTAATATCAAGGATATTAGAAATCATCACATTCTCCCCTGGTTAAAATTGTGTGCATAATCTTGTAGGTATTTTGGAAGTCTTTTCTCCCTGAATGGTCTTTGAGAAGTTACTGGTAAATTAGGTACACTTTCACTTGTTTCCATATCATCGGTTGGATTTTCATTTATTTGTACATCATCATTTTGTGCCTCATCTTGTTCTTCTTGAGAATTTGATGTCTGGGCCATAGCAGTGTCGGTTTCATCTCTGAGAAGTCTCACATCCCCTCGAGGAGCCAAATGCTTTAGAGACACGTTCGATTCTTGTCCATTTTGATTTCGAACACGAGCATACTGAGGGTTAGCTTCGATAATCTCTACTTCATCCACTTTCTCATCGTACTTGCTTGACTGATTATGGCGTTTCAGTAGAGCTGGTCCAGGAAAACTTAGCCATGTGGGCAAAGCAATTCCATTGCTTGATCTCCTAGAGTGCACAAAAAAGCGTTCGTGGGGAGTTGCATTGGTAGCTGTACACAGTAAAGATCTAATAGCATGCAATGCATCATTGAGAACACGCTCCCACTGCCTAATTGGTAAATTCTTTGTCTTAAGTGCAAGGGTTATTGTTCTCCAAAGTGTTCCGTTGAAGCGCTCGACTTGTCCGTTTCCTTCTGGATTGTAAGGTGTTGTTTTACTTGTGGCGATACCACGTGAATGTAAAAACGATACTAGTTCTTGAGACAAAAATGAAGATCCTCTGTCGGAGTGGATGTAACTTGGAATTCCAAACATTGAAAATAGATTACTAAGACAATTAATCACAGTAGACGAACTAGTATTCCTACACGGATATGCAAATGGGAATCTGGAATACTCATCTATGATGGTAAGTAAATAATTATTTCCTGTGCTGGATGGATTAGGTCCTTTGAAGTCAATGTTTAATCTTTCAAATGGCGAAGTAGCCTTGATTAGGTGCTGATCAACAGGTTTGTAAAAACGTGGCTTAACCTCAGCACAAACAGGACACGACGTTGTTATATTCTTTACTTCCTGTAGGGAATAAGGGAGATTCTTACTCCTAATCCAGTGGTACATTCGAGTCACACCCGGATGGCTTAGTGCTTGATGTAAATCAAAGAGACGATTAGGCCTTTCAGTAACTGAGGCACTGACTCTTGAGAATGTATCTGCTACGACATTTTTATTTCCTGGACGATACACGATATCAAAACTGTAACACGACAACTCAAGTCGCCACCGCAAAATTTTGTCATTTTTGATCTTACTTGAGTGTTTCATATCAAAAATAAAGGAAAGGGCTTGTTGATCCGTCATTAGTTTGAAATGATGACCGATAAGAAAGTGTTTCCATTTCCGTACAGCTTCTACAATGGCACTTGCTTCCTTTTCAATAGCAGAGTGTCTTTTTTCAGTGTCAGAAAGACTTCTGGAAAAGAATGCTACAGGTCTTCCATTTTGACTTAAAATTGCAGCAACAGCAAAGTCAGATGCATCAGTCTCTACCAGTAGTGGACTTTCTGGGTCAATGGTAGTAATAATCGAGCTGGCAATGTCCTTTTTCAGTTCATCAAAGGCAGATTTTGCAGATTGAGGCAAAGGAAAAGATTTACAACGGACCAAGTTTTGTATTTTGTCTGAAAAATTACGTATCCACTTAGAGTAATGGGCAAACATTCCCACAACACGCTTAAGAGATGTTGCATCTTTGGGAGGAGGCATTTCCAACAACGGTTTCAGTCTGTCTGGATCTGGTCTCATGGTTTTATTACATATCAAATAACCTAATAGCTTTATTGAACTAAGAGAATACTTGGACTTCTTATCGTTCAAAGTGAAATTATACTTTTTAGCTACCTGTAGAAACCTTTGTAAATTCTCGTCATGTTCTGCTTGAGAGCCGCCACAGATGGTTATATCATCTAAATAAGCATACACTCCTTTAAGATTTTCTTTTGATATTATGGAGTCTATCACTCTTTGAAAGCAGGCTACACCGTTGGTGACACCAAAGGGGATTCTAGTGAACTGGTATAGCTTACCATCAGCTTCGAATGCTGTGTAAGGTCTTTATTCAACAGAAATGGGAATTTGATGATATGCTGATTTCAAGTCAATAGTACTGAATATGGCATGCTAGCCACTTTACTTAGAATGTCGTCAATCCGGGGTAGTGGGTAAGCATCAAGTAAAGTATATTTATTTATTGTTTGTGAATAGTCAATAACTAGACGTTTCTTATGGTTTTCATTCACAGTGATTAGTGGCTGAGCTCGCCAGGGAGAGTTAGTCTCTTCAATAATGCCCTCAGATAGCATGTTTTGTACCTCACAGGTAATGAATTGTTTGCCTTCGTCTGAAAATCTCTGAGTCTTAGTGGCAATGGGTCGTATATTAGGAACTAAATTACTGAACAATTTTGGAGATACAACATCAGCCGGTAGTAAGCTACATATAGAAAGTGGTGGTCTAGGTCCTCCAAAAGATATGTCAACATGAGAGTGATACTTCATGAGATCATGGCCGAGTAATACATCTGCACATAACTGAGGCAAAATTGACAACTTAAAACCATTGTACGTATGATCTTGAATATGTAAGTCTACTAATACGTAGCCTAATACTTTAGATGTCAAAGTTGTAGTAGCCATAGAAACCTGCCCACTTCCAGGTATTACTTTAATTCCGTGTTTTAAAACAAAATCATGATTTAAGTAGCTATCAGAACTACCAGTATCAATTAAAGAGTTAGCATGTCTACCATTTACTCTGGCTGAGACGACAGCTTTTGACAAGCAAGCAGGTCCAGCGGCAGTAATATTAGCTGTGGTATTTTCAGACGAATCTGAAAAAGCGGAGACTTTATTGTTTTGACTAAAACCTCTGTTGATAGCTTTGGATTTACATACCTTTGAGAAGTGACCTTTTTTACCACAACAATGGCAAGTGACATCTTTTGCTGGACATACGGAACATGGATGACGCTGATGGTCACAGAAGAAGCACCTAGACTGTGCAGCAGCTAACATTTTTGAATTTTCTGACTGAATTACATTTTCTTCCCCCTTAATACTCTGACTTGCCTTAGGAATTGCATTTAGTACTTCACTAGTAGAATGATTTGTGTATTTATCATAAACTTGTGCATTATTCTGAGCCATTTCTAGAGCTAGAGATTGATTGATAGCATCTTGAAGTTCTAATTGTTTTCCAAGAGCCGCTGTCGAATGTCAGCAGATAGTAAACCATTTATAAATGCATCTCGTATGTAGTCGCATCGGTTTTGTTCTGAAGTTACAGATTTGAATTCACAATCTTTGCTTAATGATTTCAAAGCTTGGACATATTGTTGAATGTTTTCATTTGAATTCTGTTTTCTTGTAGCTAGTTTGTGTCTTGCAAAAATTACGTTAGGAGATTTGCAATATATCTCTTTCAATGTCTTGATAGCTTCTTCGTATGTTGAACATTCTTCAATGAATTCAAATGTCTTATAAGACACAGCATTGATAAGTACTTTTAAAACATCTTCATTTGAAACTTTAGCAATGTCAACATAGTTTTGGAAAGTCTTGATCCAGTAAGAAAATTCTTTTTTTGCTGTTGGAGAATCCGGATTGATATCTAGAATTTGTGGTTTTAGTATTTTCTCCATTTGATTTGTTTTTACTCAAATAAATTGTTGAAATAATGAATACACCTTTTACAAATTCTAAGGCTTCATTTGAGTAAAAACCAACATTACAGAACAACACAAATAAACAAGTTAAATTTGCATGGTAACCAGGACAGCTGATCAAAGTTGTAATATCAAGGATATTAGAAATCATCACACCCTCTCTTTCCTCAGTATCAATACCAAGATTTAAGTATTAGTTATTCAACCACTGTATTAATAGCACTGTATAGTCGTATCGTGGCCGGCCTTATGGGTTAAAAATTGTTTCACATAATTAATAGGTACATACACTTAAATGTGGCCTCCATTTCTTGCTTTAAATACATTCACTGAACACTGAATGGTTGCTTAAAACACAAGGCCCATAGTTTGCAGGTAAAAGCCACCTCTCTGGCTTTGTTATTTATAACGTTCTTAAAGCTTGAAAAACTAATTACTTACTTAAAACTAATACTCTACAATGCAAAATAGTTTTATTGCATTCAAACATTCAAACTAATATTGCGAGATGTAAAGGAAGACAATGGGCTAGTATTGTCAATAAATCACAAAAAAGTTGTAAAAGTTTACAAAATATTGTACAGCCAACTATAAACACTTTCGATGTATTATCTAAAACTACAGTACCTGATAAATACGATTAATCTAGCCTACACACTATTTTCCTCATAAACAATTGTTTTATAACGTAAAACAAATACTCACGTGCTCTCCAATCTGACTCAGACGCACAAATCGAGAAAAAACACACAAGTAAAACCAATACATAAAAAAGTTTTTCTAAGGGTGACATTTCAAAGATAAAGACATCAAAACATGAGAGACTGATGAGTAGTCATGCTGACGAAGAGACTGGTCTCTGGTCGGAAATAGCTCTTGATTCTCTGCCAGGTGACACTACAGCAGTCTGATTGTTGCAATGCAAATATTTTATCTTTTGACTAACTGTTCTATTCACCCAAAGCGCTCTCACACCTGTAGAAGTATCTGGTTCCATTGGATATAAAATTATCTACTGGTTACAAAAAGTTATAAAGATAACGTATTCATAAATTTTATGCATATCTTCTGTTATTTAATTCTTAATTTTTACGTTTTAATACTTTTAACAAATTTCCTTACAGGGAAGTAGCTATTAACATAGGTGGCATGGTAAGTCCTGGGCTTAGGACCAATGTACTTTTTCATTTTGATGTCCCCAGAGGCCAAAAACACTATTTGTTCAAATTAGTGTAGTTATATATGAACGACGGTTAACGCGATAACTTGAGTCATTTTTGTCCGATTTTGATGAAATTTGGCTTTGGAACAGGAGTTTATGGGTTACTTAAAAAACACAATATATATTGTTACAGCAAACCTAGGTACAGTGCTTGTTAAACTGAATGCTATTTAAGCTTTAATATAATAGATAATATGTAATGTATTGTATTAATAAAAAATACATCCAGGCAAATTAAACAGTCTCAGTGGCGATCCCAGGATTTTGCCCTGGGGGGGGGGGGGAGGGCAGGCAGAAGGCCTTCAGCTTTTCCGAGGGGGGGGATGCTATTTATACGTGATCAATGTTGATTTAGGCGATACTAACTAAATATATGTTTTTTTTTTGGGGGGGGGGATTTTATATTCAAATATGTTTAGCCCTGGAGGGGGGGGGGGGTCAAGTCATGCTCGTTCCCCCCCCCCAGTAGGGAACCACTTCTTAGTCTGCAGGTTTGTTGTGGCGGGGGTATTTCCATCAAAAGATGGCTGATTATGACACTGTACCGAAAATTTTAAAGATTGAATGAATACCAAAGTTAATGTTGGACTAGGAAAATACATCCATATAGTTTTCAAGCTCAGATTTACAAGTTTAAACATTGTTATTTTAAAATATTCAGAGAACCATAGATATTAAATTATATTTCTTTAAAACTTCCCAACTATACTTTGGATTTTAAAACAAATCAATGGGATAAAAGGCCAAAAGAATAGTCAACTTATATTACACTCTATTGTGCTTTATTTTAATATAATGTATGTAAATATTGATTATTTACAATGCATGAGTGATCTAATACGTAATATATTGAAAATATAGCAAAGCTCTGACATAGTTTGCATAAAATATCATGCATCTTTTGATTTGTATTGATTATCACAGTGAGTAGCCTATAATACACAGCTTCACCTTCACCACATAAAATATAAAATAAAATAACAATTAATGTTTTACAATACAAAACAAAAGTTTTAATATCAATATTCTTTGAACTGCATAATTAATTATTTGGAACGTAATGAAACAATATATCTAATCACAAATAATTTTATGTTATAAACTTCCAGCTTCAATCACAATCAAGCTCTGTCTAACTCTCGTGTTTATTGGACACCACACTTCTTGTTGGCCGGAACAGCTACGTCTGAAACAAATCGTTACATATCAGCATTCACTTTTGGATTCGGCGTTACATATAAGCTTCAGCTTACAATAAGTCATCTTTAGTGTGACTGGGTTTAAAAGTCTGCATACTCAATGAAATCAATTTTGATTAAAAACCTGGCGACAAATTTTACATGGGGATGGAATGCCTAGAAATAGCAAAGATATCATGTAACTGCTCAACTGCAAAAATATTAACTGGAGTTCAATTAATTACTAAACCTGACTTCAATTTTTTGAACAAGGAATTAATGAAATTAATTAATTGTTTAGTGGTTTACACAAAAGTGTAAGATTATATAGGCCTACAATACAAAATATGAAGGCCATAACAATTTAAAACAGACAATGTTGGTTACTCAAATTGTAATGAAACATTGTGAAATGTATATTATTGAGCGGAGCGAAGAAAAGCTCTTTGGGATCGACTTTGATGCAAACTTTCTAACACTATCACTGAAAAATGGCTAAACAAATTAAAGCCAAACTTACCAAGATCGTTTGGACAATATTTTAGAAGGTTTATGAAAAAACAATTTAAATTCTTTATAATGCCTATATAGTTCAAAAGTAACTCAAAGTTTTAACAGTTTGAAATTGGGTTGATGCAGTGCTCGATTTGTAAAAAAATAGGTGTCAGTACCTTATTTAAAGTGATCAGTACCTATTTATGCCAATATTTTTACCTTTCTGATAGAGAGGTACTGAGTTCCATTCAGTCAAGTTCCCCCGCAAATCGAGCACTGGGCTCATGGGTTGCCGTGATGGTTACAAAATAACAACGTAAATATAAACAAAACAAAGAATCATAGCATTTTTGTTTAAAATCAAGGCTTGAAACTGTCAGATAATACATTTGTGACGGTTATAAGAAGGTTTAACTGACTACTATAAGATTCCCGTGCGTAGAACAGGCATGCAGCTAGTATGATCTAAACAGAGAACAAAGGATAAACAATTGGATGATGACCACTAATCAAATAATACAGAGCAAGTATTATACGCCATTTGGAAACCATCACTGATCAAATAGGTACCGTTACAGTATTTTATAGATTTTATTTATGTAAACTAAATTAGTTTATAACAAATAATATTTATCTTATGTGATTGAGAACTAAAACAAATGAATCAGCAGATTTAAATAACTAGGTATTATCAAATCAATAATTTTTTATCTAAAAATTGGGAAGAAAATACAAATTCCATCCCGTCCTGAAATTAAAGTACAATTCTATTCATCTCTAGAAATAACAAAAAATTTACAATAGAAAAACAAGTGATAGTTAAGATGAAACAACAACTTACCTATTTTCCTAGGATATGGCAAATTAAGATTGTTCATCAGTTTGATGAACTCAGCTTTGGATTTAGTCAGTCGAGGATTGTAAGTCTTCTCTTCCAACACGGTCGAGTAGGTGAACCCTGAAAATATTTTTACTTTTTCAGATAGGATAACCGTGAATGTGTTAACAAACTAGCAAGATAAGGTGGGAACAAATTGTTATGGGATTCAGAAATGTTTTAAAAGTTGTTTTAATTTTAAATTTTACCCGTATAACATGAACATAGCCAATTTCCATTACAAGTAAAGAGCTTAAGAAAACAAAATCACTGTGTATATTGAAGCATTGTTGAATGTTGTTGAAGGGTTACAAATAAAAATTAAACATTGTATAATATTTACAATTTCTGTGTTCTTAACCCTTTGCGGTCTCAAAGCCGTTTTAGGAAAGTTCCTCTCAACTCGAATGGCCAGCACAGCTGGCAACCACTGATTTCCCCGTCAGCCCATCTGGCCAGCATTGGTGGCCATCCTACACACTTTTTTAACATTGTTTATTGATTCTCCGGCAGTTTGGCTGTCATTGTGTTGTTATCTTGTGAAACTGTGATATGAGGTTACTTTTACCAGGATAAAATATAATTTGTTGTATAACTGTAGGATGACCAGGACAGGTTTTTGGATAAGGATTTTAAATATTCTTGCCTATTATTATTTTTGTATTTAACCAGTCATCTATATATATAAAAGGAAAAGCCCTCACTGACTCACTCACTCACTTATCACTAATTCTCCCACTTCCCATTTACCTAGGAGGCTGAAATTCGGTACACCGATTCTTTGGGCATTAAATAGGAAATCTAAGTAGTTTTTATTCTGGTCGGGCTTTTGGACTCCGCCCCAGTGGTTCTGGAGTTTCCCATGTTAACCTTATGACTTTTCATATTTAAAAGGAATTTAATGAATCTCAACAGCTGTTTCAATTAAACAAGTTGGTTCTGTTCTATGATGTTCAATAGCATTAAAGTTACAAGGATTACAAACAGGGTGCAGCACTATAATTTTTTTTTAAATTTATGACAACAGCTAACTTGCAACCAAAAGGTGAGTGAGCATAGCGAACGAACTTCAGCCTGGAGGCGAGTTAGCGTAGCGAACGAGCTAACCTGAAGGCAAGTGAGCGCAGCGAACGAGCTCCAACCTAAAGGTGAGTGAGCGTAGCGAACGAACTTCAACCAGGACGGGATTGAGCCATGCGAACGAGCTCACTTATGAAGTTAAACGGGGCAAAGCCCGCGGGTACAGCTAGTCTGTCATAAATCAGTAGGTATTAAACAATGTTACAAAATCAGGTTAAAATGTAGAACGTGCATTTCCCGTTATGTATGAGAAAGGACATCCTGTCTCAAAATTTTATGAGAAATAAAAAAATCCCATCTCGTCTCGTCTCAAACTAAAAATCCAATCTCGTCCATCCCTATTTTATACTTAACATTCTACCCAAAACACCTTTTTCCTTGCCTGTAGTAAAAAAAACCTTGGAACTAGGTTATGTATTTAATGAATAAGGAATGAATCTGACACATTTCAAGAAATATAATAGAAGGTACTTCAAAATTCAATCAGACAAATGGAAATTCGCTTAGTCTGAAGAATTGCTGTGACAGGGCCAGGGGTATTTTTTACTATAAAAAGTCCTCACTATATGAGGAAGACTCATTTTAGCAAAGTTTTGTACAAAGCAATGGGCCACATAAAGCAAAGTGCCACAAAAATACAAAATGCCATACATCTCTAGAGACTGGCACAGTCCGTAAAGAATCAATTTTTCAATTAGGTACTTGTAACAAAAAAAAAAACGTGTCAGACAGTAAAATACAGTGCATTCCAATCAACAACCAAAATGACTAAAGATAGGCTGAATTTTTTTGGTGAAAAGTATATGTAATTATGCAAACCAAGATTCCACATAGTGAGGACTACTTGTATACTTGATCTAAGAGATGACATACCTTTGTAGTCGTGAGCTGGAAATATCTTGAAGTTATCAGGCAAAGTGAATATTTGTGTGTGAACTGAGTTGTAGAGAGTTTCTGCGTCACCTTCCTGAAAGTCAGTTCTTCCGCAGCCTCGGACGAGAACTGCGTCTCCCGTGAACACCAGACCCTGTTTCTCACTCACGTAACTAACACAACCTGGCACAACAAAATTATTTGTAAAGCGCGTTTAACTAAGTAATGTACCAAAATCTTTTAGACAACATTAACTTCATTTATAGCTGCAACACATTAGACCTTCAACTAGTAAAAAATTTTTTTTCTAATTGCTCCAAATAAAAAAGAGGTTATTTTACCATAGTATCGCCTTTTGACTCCTATACCCCCTCTAAGGGCGGATAAATAATAAATAAATCCGCCTTTAGAGAAGGTATAAGAGTCACAAGACGATACAGTAAATTAACCTCTTATTTATATGTTAAGTGTGACTCACAACTACGCAAATATGCTCCAAATAATTTACTAAATTTATTACTCAGTAGTTTTTTTTACCAAAAAGCACAGGGATAATGCAGAGAAATATACTTTAAACAAAAATGTGTTTTCGATCATTCAACATTGCATATTTTGAAGCTGAACGCAATAGTCTTTTTATTATTTACTTACAACTGACGTCAGTCTTCTATACACTGACAAATATAAATCTGAAGAGAAACCTTGAAGTCTTCGTGACTTTGGTAATCGTCTACCGCGACCATTGCAACACCCATGAAGGTAACATGCAGTATAATTTTTTTATATAAATTTCCATCATGTCTAGCTAAAAAAAATACAAACCAACATTTTTTTATAATTCAATTATATTTTTTAATTTTACTTTGTATTTTAAAGATGTCACAATCAAGGATTATTTTACCTTGCATAAATGAACTTGGTTTGAAATGTAACCAGTAATCTCACCATTGGTGTGTCCTGGAGTGGACCTGACCGAGAGGGAATGACATCCAAACTGTATGACATCCTCGGGAGTGACATGTACGTCAGCCTCGGCACAGCTGCTACGAGCAATCAGACTGCGGCTGCCCGGCAACAACTGCTTCAGTCTACCAGACCCTGTTATATGATCTGCATGGAGGTGTGTGTTCACTGTACAACAAAAATAGTTGATTATTAATCCGACATGAATTTTAAATTGATTTAGTGCAAAATGTTTAGAGAGAGAGAGTTACCAGTGACATACAAACAGGATACCTGGTACGTGCAAATTAGGAAGTTAGTGCAATTTTTTTATAACACATTTGCATTATAAGCTGGATGCACAGTACATTTCACTTTTTTTAAGGTGTTCGCCATCAATCAAAATATTGGCCTTAGTCACTAACAAGAATACAAGATTGCGCCACTCATCTCCATTAATACTTGACTTAAAATACCTTTATTCGTATGGTCGCCATTTCAAAATAAAGAATTCAAGTATATGTGAAACTTCTCCGAAAAATATCAGTTTTTCAATAAACCCTCTCCTAAGAGCAACCTCAATTAAAGGGCTGTATTTAATCACATTTAAAATATTAAAGATACATCAGCAGTATTTGTAAACCATATCTTGAGTACTATTTGTAATGACACATTTTTGCAGAGCGTAGTCTATAGCACAGACAATATTGTATACAGTAGAGTCCCGCAAACTCGGCGTAATGTGGACTGGAAGGGTGCCGAGTTTGTGAAATGCCGGGTTATCGGGAACTAGGGTTAAAAATGAGAACAATACAGTTTTTAAGCTTTTTAACTGCCTTTTTTATTTATATTACAAGTCAGTATTAAGTCATCAGATATAGTACAACAAATCCTTAATACCAGTTGCGAATAATTTGACTTAAGCTGGCTTGAGTCCATGATTAACTAGCACTCAAAAAATCACTAATTTTCTGAGCCAGGTGATGGCCGAGTTATCCAGACTGCCGGGTTATCGAGTGCCGAGTTAGCGGGACTCTACTGTATTTCTAAAAGTGTAGCCCAAGCATACAATATTTGTGTGTTTTTAAAGGAATAAAGAATTTTTCTGTTGTCATTCAGCAGATGAGACATTGTTTTTTTATTTAAGAATCTTGCGTAGGACTAAAAAACTCTAACAGTGACTCTAAACAAAAACGCAGGCACGTCTTTAAGGCTACTGGTACTTATGCAAAATATAAATAGTAATTCAGCTAAATTCAAAAGGTAATTCAGTAATTCAGCAGGGATTCAAATCCAACAGTTGCGAGGATGTCAGCCCACATTAGAAAACCGATGCAGCGTCTCCAGTCTACTTCCATGTAACTAGCCATCCCACATTTCCCACATTTTAACGTAGCCTGACTGGGACAGTGTCGTCGTCCTGTAATCCAGCTACTAGGAGGTCACAAATTCTGGATATTTATAGGCATGCACTGTGGATGAGATACTCCCTGGTGCGGATTAACGTCCACACTAGTAAGTAACTATGACTATCCATAGTACTATCCTGATAATATGTCCAATTTGTTAATTAATACCAAGGCAAAAATGTTGTTCGGATTCCACTATAAACTGTTAGTCCCTTAGATGCCATTAGCTGTATGGGCTATTAATTAATAGATGTGTCTAAGGAATATGTCGGCCTTAGTGACTAACAAGACTACAAGATCGCGCCACTCATACTACACTCATCTACATTCATACTTGGCTTAATTTCAATGATAAGTATTGAAGTATATTTGTCACTGGCCTTTAACAAATAGGTAATTCTGTGTTATTGTGGGGTAATTATATCTACCTCCGGACCTCACACAAAATTAAATTTTTTTTTTCAAAATGGTCGAAATTTCATGCTGATTTCAAAAATGATTGTTGTTTTTTGCGGAAACGTCCCGTTTTCCCGGAAAATGGGAAAAACGGGAAATTTTTTTTGTGCTCAAAACCCATGTTGTGGGTACTCAAATTGTGCGGAATTTCCTGACCTAACCTAACCTAACGTAAAGTAACCTAACCTAACGTAAAGTAACCTAACCTAAGTTGTTAGGTTAGGTTAGGTTAGGTTAGGTTCGGTTGGGTTAGTTTACATAGTTACAATACTCATTTTATTGAGAAAACTAACCTAACCTAACGTAACCTAACCTAACCTAAAGTAACCTAACCTAAAGTAACCTAACCTAACCTAAAGTAACCTAACCTAACGCTATGCGGTAGTATAAGAGTAGCCAGCGGCCCGCTTTTCCGGTGATATTTTGCTTAATAGTGGTCCGATTGTAATAAAAATTACATATTCTTGTTCAGGAGGAAATTCCGCATACTTTGAGTACTTACAACATGGGTTTTAAGCAAAAAATCTTTTTTCCCGTTTTTCCCATTTTCCGGGAAAACGGGACGTTTCCACAAAAAACGACAATCATTTTTGAAATCAGCGTGAAATTTCGACCATTTTGAAAAACAAAAAATTTAATTTCGCGTGAGGTCCGGAGGTTGATATAATTACCTATTGTGGTAACTGATAACGAATGTTAAATATGACTGGATTCATAGATGTCTTGTGCAGTAGGATAGGAACATATTTTAAACTAAAAAAAATGATAATTTATCACAGAAACTATACTTACTAGCATATTTTAGAGTGAACCCAAGCTCTTTGATCAGTTGTGCATCTCTCTCTGCTTGCTCAAGGACTGGGTCTATCAACACTGCTATTTTAGAGTTAACATCTGCCAAAAGATATGTATAGGTACTGCTCTCTGAGTCAAACAACTGGAAAAAAATAAAAGGAATCGTAACAAACGTTATGCTATATCTTACCTTACAAATATTTTAAACTAGCTGGCCCGACATACGTCCTGTACTAATGTGGTTTTATGTCAAACGCTTGTACATTTTCAAGATGAGCTCGTTCGCATCACTCAATCTTGTCCTACCTAGTTGAAGTTCCTTCGCTACACTCTTTTCACCTTTTGGTTGAAAATCAACAGGTTTTTTAAACACATGTTATTGTATCCCACAGTTTTATGAGCAAAAAATTTTTTTAATTTTTAAAATCAAATTAACCTACTAAATAACGGTTGGATGAAATATAAATTTTCTTACATAAAAACCTATCCCTGGCACTAACGAATACAACTAAACAAGAATCATCCAATTCGGTGCACTCCTTTTCGAGTTATGGAGTACCATCAAAAAAAGGGATTCATTTTTATTTTATATAAAAGTTTGTGTGTTTGTTTGAAGTTCAATCACACAATAACTACTGGTCGGATTGGGCTGAAATTTGACATGATGTTAGCTCACATGGTCCCGATTAACATAGAGACCTATTCTTATCTCAAAAATCCTTCCGGGCTCCGCCCCAGTGGCTCTGGAGTTTTCCATGTTAACCTTATGAGTATTCTTTAAGAGGGATTAAATAATTTTGTCAGCTATTCTTCCTAAACAAATTTGTTATGATATTTGTTGTAATAAACTGATTTTGCTAGTAGGATAAAAGAAATGTAAGAACTGTTAGAGAACCATTTAATAGACTAAATAGTTTGTTTACATAACAACTTAAACAAACTAACATTATAATAATCAGAATTACATTATACAGCTGTTGAGCCTACAGGACTGAGTAAATCATTTTTTATCTCAACACTTCCCCTAAAAAATGACACTTTACTCAGACAAGAAAACTGCTGCTCATGTATCCTTACATCTTGAAGTATTCTCTTGAGCCACACTGCTTCCCCTACAGCCAAACTTGCAGCAATCTGCAGCAATCAACTCAAATGCTGTAGTTGACAAAGCTACACATTTCTGACGTTTACTACACCAGAACACTGGACTAAGCACCTTTATTTCCTCATCCATTGCCTTGACCCAATGATGAGAATCCTTGCATGTCACCGCTTCCTTGCACTTAGTAGGTTATGCAACACATGTCAAAAGGGCACAATCAGCAAGTTTCACAGGAGGCTTCAATTTTGATCTGTCTCTGAAACTATACCTCTGTCCTTCTTCGTCAGGTAAACTTGCAGTTGTTGAAGAGTTGGTTTCAGTTGTAGGAAACTTTTTGTTTTGTTCCACAGGCTCCTTGAAGTCGACAAAATATCGATTGCCACCAACTGATAACACAGGCATTGAGCCACAAACATCAGCATTTATGCAATCACCAGGTTGATTAACAAGTTCTTTGCGAGTACCAAAACTCAACCGATGCATCTTGCCAACAATACAAGCGTCACATATCTCAGACTTAGTACCTGAATTTGTAAATTCAATACCATTGTTCTTCAGGTATGTCAAAACATATCGCTTGTTTTGATGCCCTAATCTATCATGCCACAGTTGTAAATCATCTCTCAGAGCAACTTGAGCTTCAGCTTCTGTAATACTAATAACTTTCATATTCATAATGAAAAGTCCATTCTTTCTATGTAATTGAGCAACCAAAACACCATTCTTGAAGAAATTACATTTGTCCTTGCTGAAAGTAAAAATTATACCTTTGTCCAACGTAGAGGAAATAGAAAATAAGTTCTTGACTACTTCAGGAACATACCAAAAATCTTCCAAATGATTTCTCTGGCATTTTCCTCCCACAACCATCTCTACAATTATGTTTCCCTTGCCGAGTGCTTCCATGGTTTGACCATTTCCAACTCCAACATGCTTAACTGTTGAAAATGCCTTGTACGTCACAAACCATGATCTGTTCATTGTCATGTGCTGCGTAGCTCCAGAATCTACAATCCAATTAGATTCTTCGATACATACTTGTGAGCGACCACAATATCCAACAAAAGCACTTCCAGGTTTTAGTGACTGTTTGACATTAGGACAATCCCTCTTCATGTGACCAAGCTGGTTACATGAAAAACATTTAGGTCTTCATTTCTTTTTCTTATTTTCAGCTCCAACACCACTGACGGTAATTATGCTTGATGTTGATTTCACACGGTTAGAGTTAGGTTGTGAGAAAGTTTTATGTTTTGAACCAGTGTAAAATGCAGCATTAGACTCCTTTACACCTCCAACTTCTCGCTCCTTCATTCTCATTTCAACCGTACACAGTCTCTCTCTCAGTAATGACAGTGTCCTCTGATCCTTCGGTACAGACTCCCAAGCGTTAATGAATTCACTATATTCACAGGTACAGGTGGTAGGGTATTCAACACCCTATTTAGGAATAATGAATCAGGAAGCTTAACTTTATCTTCTTTCCAAGTTTCGTCCTGTAGCTCAACCCAAAGTTTTTCCAGCTTTGCTATGTGTTTCACTACACTGTCATGTGAGTCCTTTTCCTTAATTCCAAAGAATTCATTAAACAGACGGTCTTGTCTCTGTTCAGTTCTCTGTTCAAAAATAATCAAAAGTTTCCCCCACATTTCCTGTGCAGTTGAACACATATTTATAAGCTGTCTTACTTGACTGCTAACAGATGAAACAATGATATTCTGTGCCGAAAATTCTTTCTTTTCAAGTACAGCAACCTGTTTCTGATATTTGTCCATCTTTGAAGCATCTTCATCTTCACCTGGTTTCTCAGGGTATACAAGCTTTCCTTCAACAGCTTCCATTATACCATGAACTCGAAACTGTATGACTACTTGAAATTTCCAATCTATCCAATTGGATTGACCCTCCAGTTTATCAAGTACATAAACTTTAGAAATTTCCATGGTAGACAAAACACTTGAAGACAACTGAACAAGATTTTTCAAAAAGACAAATAACAATCAATCACAGGTTCTTTCACATATATCCTACTAACAAATCCAATAAATAAACACAGTTATTTGCGAGTCTGGGCCCATAACCTGTTGTAATAAACTGATTTTGCTAGTAGGATAAAAGAAATGTAAGAACTGTTAGAGAACCATTAAGGGTCGCTTTCCCCAAACATGGTTTAACTATTAAACCCGTTTAGCTGAAGGTTTAAACTTGAAATCATTTTCCCCAAACTACATGGACAGTTTAAACGCCATGAAAGTTTAAACCACCTGGTTACCTGGTTTAACCCAGAAATTTAGTTTAACCAACAATAGAAAGCGTCGTCAGCTGAGCTGTCACAACACAAACATAACCTCACAATAGTATTCATTTCAGTCAATAAAAGAACGGAATTGAAAGAGGATCCTAGGCCTAACTTATTAAGACAAAAGTACCGGTATTTTTATATTATAAAGTGCTAGTATCGATGAAGTAACCTATGGTCCAAGTTTGTAAGATAAGTTTTTTTTTTATTATTCATAAATTATTAATTAGGCCTAGTTAAAATTGAAACTGTAGCAACAGTATTTTTAGTGAATGTGTTTTATTTAGTGAGTGTGTTTTATTAGTGAGGGTGTTTTATTTGTGAGTGTGTTTTATTTGTGAGTGTATTTTATTAGTGAGTGATAGAGATGGAAGAACTGATGGACGTGTTAGATGTTGATGAACAGTTCATTGAACTTGGAGAGACCACGGACTAGAGGCCCAACAAAAATGAGAAACAGGGTTGACCACTTTAATGTTTGGGATGAGGAGGACTTTTTTATGAGATTCAGAATGTGTAAAAGGACAGCCCATATGGTTTTAGATATGATCAGAGAAGACATAACATCGAAAACTCAGAAAAATAGAGCTGTATCTCCGGAGGTAAAATTTCTGACTGCTTTACGTTTCTACGCTAGTGGTAGTTTCCTCATCGGTGTGGGTGACCACAGTGGAATTCACTACTCCACTGCTAGTAAAGTTGTTAGAGAAGTATCAGATGCTCTTGCAAGGTTACTTCCTCACATAGTTCGCATGCCTTCAAGAGATGAACAAAACCAAGTCAAGCAAGGGTTTTATGAAAAGGCCCGCTTCCCCAATTGTATTGGTGCGATTGACTGTAGTCATGTCAAGATTAGTTCTCCAGGCGGGGATGCTCCAGAACTCTTCCGAAACAGAAAAGGTGTATATTCTCTAAATGTTCAAGGTGTATGTGATGCAAATCTTTGTTTTTCTAATATAGTGGCAAGGTGGCCTGGGTCTACACATGACTCTCACATATTTAATTCCAGTAGATTGAAGAGAGAATTAGAACAGGGAATACATGGGAATGGTGTACTGGTAGGCGACAGTGGCTATGGGTGCAAAAACTATCTACTTACCCCCTTGGACACTGTTGAAACTGAAGCAGAGCGTTTGTATCAAGAGTCACAGATCAGAACAAGGAACCCAGTTGAAAGATCTTTTGGGGTATGGAAAAAAAGATTTCCTGTTTTAGCTCTCGGAATAAGGTTGAAGATTGAAACCACACAATCTGTCATTGCTGCAACCGCTGTACTCCACAACATATGCATCAGACAGAAGGAAGAAATTCCTCCAGTCACAGATGAGGAACTAGAAGCGATTGAAGCCCTTAAGACCTAGGTGGCCAAGGAAATGCTGACCGTCAAATACCAAGACATGTTAGGCTCAATGGATTTGACCCGAATAAGTTTACCAGGAATAGACTAATAAATGAGTATTTCAACAGCATGTTATAGACAAAATGAATTACTCTTGTTGGGCAGACATTGTCAACAAATTGACTCTATGCTTTATACTGTAATGTTCAATAACCATAATCAGCACTACCATCATTTTTTGCATACTATCAGCATTTTTTTATCATCAGGAGTTTAGGATCATTAGTTGATGGTTTCTAGGCCTATAATTGGCTATTTCTGGCCAATAATTGTATTTTACAGGTATTTCCTGATTGTTTTCATTATCTGTAAGCTGCTAATAAAACCATTTTGTTGTATTTTGGATTTAATTTCTTACAGACCTGTATTTATGAAAACTAATATGTTTTAAATTAAGCCTAACTTACCCAAAGTAAAAAAGGATAAAATGTTCCATTGTGGGGATATTGTAATTTTTTAATAACTTAGGCCTAGCTAAGTTAAGTTTTGTTTGAAAAAGAAAATCTTAACTTATAAATAAGTTATAAAAATTTATCTGGAAAAATAGTATTTTTTTTTTAATTTTCACTTTAACTTCTTTAGCTTTCAATACATTATTGATTTGGGTGGATTTGAAATTCTAGGTCTGGTTGGTAAAAACTAAAAAAATGTTCTACCTAGGCTATATGCATTCTGTTTGCCATAAAGGTTTAGTCTATGTTATTCAAATAACTTACTCTTTTAAATTTTTTTGAGTTGCTCTTGCGGGCAGGATTTGTATGTACCGGTCCCGTACTCAGGTTACAAACAAGTCTTGACATAATGGCAAGTTTGAGCAATAGGAAATATAATTAATGTATGAGACAAAGCCTATTGTACATTTTGCATTGAATGGTGAATAAAGCTTTTGAATCTTTGGAATATGCCTAATCTAGGTCAAAGATGAGGCGCATATTGAACTGAAGCCTAAATTTTTAATCTTAAGTATTATTAGGTTAACAATCTTATATTAGGTTAAGAAAACCCCATATTTGAATAGGCTAACTTTTTTATTGAGTCAAAAACTAAATAATACTTACAACAGTGTGATAAAATAATCAAATAGGCCTAGGCTATTACATTAGGCTAGTCCAAAAGCTTTCAGACCTAACTCTTCTTTTTTGATCTTCAACTGAAGAAGTTTCATCTTCATGTTATGTTCCTCCTCGATGCATTTCATCTTCAATTGGTGCTCAGCGTACTGTTGCTCCTGCTGTTGTTGATGAATTTTCAACTGTTCTTCAACGGTTTTTTTTTGTAAAAGTATTAATTCCATTTTAGCAGCAGACACATCTTCAATTTGTTTTGATGCGCGGGTCTTATCGAAGAGGGGTTTCTTTTTCTTGTTGTGTTTTAATGGGGAAGAAGTTTGATTTTTTAACATCCTAATAGAAAAGTCTGTTGCCTTAGCAAAACCATTAAATTCAGTCTCAGCACTCGCAGGCACCAAAGAGTCCCCGTTCACTTTCCTTTTCATAGTTTCCGATCCGGGCACTACATCTAATAGGCCTATCTCTTCAACTTCTTCTTCCAATAAAACAGGAACATCTTCTATGTTGAACGAAGTACACAGAGAAGGTCGCGGAGAAGTAGGCTTAGTTAAAATCTGCAAACTCACTTTTGTTTGAGGGCATTCGTAGTCACTGTCAAATGTTGAGGGCAAACCATCGATTTGAGTGACTCCCAACAGCTCCTTAACCTTCAAATCTGTGTCTGTTATGGGAACATTTTGGCTAGGTCCACCTCCAGTTCCCAGGACATAACTCTTTTCCTCGGCCCACTTTTTTTAGATGTTTTTTTAATGTTCTCGTACTTACTTCTCAATGTTTTAGTGTCTCGATAGACAAATACACTTTCTTGGTTGAATTTATTTGTCAATTCCAGCCAAGCATTATCTTTTTCTTTATGTGAAATTTTATCGGTCACCTTGCACTCAAGAATGCCTTTAAACTTGCTGACTAGGTCCAACAACAAATCAATTTCAGATTTTTGGAAGTTTTTACACCTTTTATCTACTGTCCTGGATACACAAACTTTATCTTGCAAACAAAAACTAATGTTTTTCGAACCTGAATCCATTTTCACAATGTATTTAATCACCAATCACTAATAAATAATACTATCAACTTGCACTACTGTACTCTCAAATCTCAATAACAAACAAATCAAAATATTGTAAACATAACCTCAAGCCCAAAAGTCAGCTAATATTTCAGATAAAATGTCCGACCAGTGGTGCCAACCTGTTTGCTTACAAAGAAAAACCAGGTTAAACTAAACTTCCATGCCAAAAAAGTGGGGAAAGCCATCATTGGTTTAAACTTCCGTTTAAAGTTAAACTAGATTAAGTTAAACTAGATTTGGGGAAAGCGACCCTAAATAGACTAAATAGTTTGTTTACATAACAACTTAAACAAACTAACATTATAATAATCAGAATTACATTATACAGCTGTTGAGCCTACAGGACTGAGTAAATCATTTTTTATCTCAACAATATTCAATAGCATTAAAAATGTATAATGTTTACCAACAGGGTGCAACACTATTAATTTATTTTTGCACAGGCGGGGGGGGGGGGGTCGTTTGCCCCGGGCGGCATGTTTTGGGGGCGGCAAAATTTAGGTTGCTATGTAATTTGTTTTAACCTTAGAATACTTAATTAAGTTTAAAGTGGTCTATCCAAAGGGCTTTTAAGAAATTATTTAGGTACTTACGTATTATACGGAGGCCACTTATTTTACAGCGCGCTGCGGCGGTTGGGTTAAGTTGGGTTATCATAAATATGTTTGTAGAACTTTCCTAGTTTCGTTATGAATCGAACTATACGAGATGAGTCATAAAAACTTATGATAACCCAACCTAACCTAACCGCCGCAGCGCGCTGTAAAATAAGTGGCCTCCGTATAATACGTAAGTACCATTATTTATATAAACACGGTGGTGAGGTTCAGGGATCGGAGCAGGGGACATGACTGCTCAAGGTCAAAGTCATTTCTTGTATTTACAGGCGTGTATATAGTTGAGTAACCGCCGCCTGCGCCATTCTACCCCTGATCTCCTCTCCGCTCCTTGTTAATACTAACTTACCTTTATTTTTTTTGTAACTTATATTTTTCTTAAATTGCTTATTTCTAACTGAAATTGTGGTTTCTAAACAACGCAGCATTGTTCAATACTTACACACAGAGAGCGCAGCGTAGCGTTGAAAAATGTAGTTAACTTAGATCTAACTTAAGCGAACTTAACTTAACACTTTAAAAGCCTACCTACCTGTCTGAAAAAGAAGTCCGATGAGGTCGAAATTTGCTCTCCAGCACTCATTTTCTTTGATTTACAACTTGAATAACAGTTAATTGTACAGTGATTTAATAAAAGAGAACTAATAATGGGCTTGTTCAGATCATGGATTGTACCAACACCTCTTGCGCAATGAAGAATAGTGGATCTCAGTATTGATATTCCGATCATTACCTACTCTATAATTTACACTGGTGAACATTCACACTTTCAGCTAGGCTAGTAGGCCTAAAAGCTTTTAGACTCTATAGCAAAGATTTGTTACGTTACAATAAACCAAGAAAGGTTAGGTTAACCATAAAGATAACAACATTATTACCATTGCATTGTTGTATCTGTTATTTTGTTTCAGCAGACCTAGTAAAAAGCTGTCTGAAAAAATGATAAGATAAATGAAATGAAATAGACAGCACACAGCTGGTGGTTGACGGGAGTTGTTGGGTTTGAGTTTTGTTATGAGTTGGTTGGATTGGATTGAAATCGAAAATGAATTGAATATGAAACGAAACAAAACGAAACGCCGAAACCCACAACACAAACCCACAACCACAACCCACCCAAAATGGGCAATGGCTGACTGACTAGTGACTGCTGAAAGCTGAATGTATCTAGCTTTAACTTTAACTATACAGCGCTTACAAAGCTGGATTTTGTTTATTTTTTAAATATTCTATTGGTTTCATGTGGTTTGACCATCCGAGACTAGTTTCGAGTAGGCCTATTGATACCAGTAATATTTTTAAAGGTAAGTAACTTAGCAGCAATAATTAAGTTAACTTATTATTTGTTGATTTTTTGCAATTTAATGGTTAACTGTTTAGGACACTTTGGCCAAACATTTTTCATTACTTCAAAACATTCATTACTTTTTATTTTTCATGTTTCTAATTTGATTTTTCTACAAGGCCTACTGTAACCCCAAGTTAACTTGGCCTAACTCTGTTCTAGACTAACCCTAGATCTAGTTATTATATACGGGTAGGGTAGGCCTATCTACTTAGGTTAGCTCAGGGTCTCTAAGCAAATACAGTAACATAAAGGTTATTAGGTACCCTTCACCTTCCCCAACTCACCTAAAACGTCCTAACTTATAAGACGTTTTTACACAGTTCCTAGTAGACACCAACACTACAACTTTCTCAAATGACATTTTGGTCGCTGAGACACCTTGCCTAGTACCTTAAAGACTAACCTAATCCTCCAAATAACCCATGTTACAATCTTCTAACATAGGCAGCTGATTTTTAATAGTGCTCGCCTTCAAAATCTGATGTTCGCTGTTTTGATTCAAAGCGAGATTGTTTCTTGATCCAGACGACATTAGCCTGTCATTGGACTTTCAAGTAGACCTAAGATACTGATGCTCCTTATCTAACTAAGTTAAAGGTTGACACAAAATAACTTTATGCTTACGTTATCTTAGCCACAACGACTTTATCCAACCTAGTTTTTAAACCTTTAAAAAAAAATTAAACATATAAAAACCAAGATGCTCAAAACTTGTAGGCTCTACCTAGACCTAGGCCTATATAAAATTAAATGTAACATTACTTAGCTTAATAGGAGCCTACCTAATTGTTCTGTACAGTTGATGATGATTTAAAACGTAATTTTGATAAACTTATGTTGGTAACTTACTGTGGTATTATCCAGAGGCCACCCTTATACAGCACGCTGCGACGGTTATTTTAGGTTGGGTTATTATAAATATGTTTGTAAGTTAGGACTTTTCTCGTTGAGCTATGAATCAAACAATACCAGATGAGTCATAAGTACTTTCACTTGCCTAATCCCCTCCAAGTAGGCCAAGGTGAAGTTGTTGACCGGAGCTCACACATCAGCTGTCACTGCCTTTGGCAGCTAGAAGTGGCGACGCATACAAATACCGGTACAACTAAATCCTCACCGACATCGCTGCCTTCTGAAAGATAACTCAAAGGCCGTTAATTGTAATCATGTCAAATTTGTACAGTAAGTATAAAGTATAGGCCTATGTTTTTTCCATTTATAATAACCCAACCTAACATAACCGCCGCAGCGCGCTGTGTAAGGGTGGCCTCCGGATAATACCAAAGTACCCTTATGTTTACTTAGGCTACAGTCTTTCACGCTGAATATGAAAAATGCTGATTCATAAATTACCGTTAAATTAAGTGGTGGATCTATGGTTCTGGCGAGTGGAAATCTTTGACAGGGATTTTCTCCCTAATCCTTGTAGGTATTTGACCTATTTTTGGAGTAAGACGTTCCAAACCACGCAGGCTAGACATCCCCTATTTTTTGGGTGAGAAATTCAATGGAACCATCGCCGTCCCCCTATGACCTCCCTTTTTTACTTACAATGGGGGGGGGGGGAAATGCCCAATAATATTTTTTTTAGATTATTATTTTTGCTACCGCAATAAGTTAGTCTACAACATTTTTCATTCATATGGACCAGCAACGCACATAGACCTATGCGACAGCTAGTCACATTAAGATATAGGCCTACTGACGTTGGATATTTGCGTCCGGTGTCTAATGTCATTAAAAAAGCTTAAGTTATATCATCGTAATTGTCTATTTGAAGGCACTGAATTCTATGCAGTGGTCTACTGGGATGTCTGTTGCATAAGTGTGTCACTTGGTCTGTGGATATGATGATTAGTGACGTCACATGATAGTTGGCAAAACTTAATTTTTACTTTGCTGCATCACATGCCCACGGTCTACGTGTACTGTTGACCAAGTGACACCTGGTCTATGTGTAATAATCAAATGTATTCCTCTGGCCGTGGCAATGACTTCAGCGTACCAAATTAGTGGCGATCGGTAGCGAACGTGGCAATTATATTTTCCTTATACTTTTTAGCGAATTTCCCATATAGGGAATAAGCTATTACCGTAGTACTCATGGTAAGACCTGGACGCGGGACCGATTTTTTTTTTTCGTTTTGAGGTCCCTAGAGGCCAAAAACACCATCCGTTCAAATTCATATATATATATATATATATATATTTATATATTTATATATATATATTTATATATTTATATATATATTTATATATTTATATATATATATTTATATATTTATATATATATGTGTCCATCAGCACGATAACTCAAGCAAAAATGATCCGATTTTGATGAAATTTGGTACAAACGTGTAAACGTACGTTTATTCGAACGAGTTCGCGATCCAGCATGATCGGACCATGGGAACGGGGGTTTACGGGGGGTTTTATGGGGTAAAAATAGGTTTTTCCCATTTCTTACCCAAAAACATTAAATTTAGCAATTTCTTTCCAAACCATTATGTAGAGCTTAAAAAAACAAATAATTTAGTATATTGAAGCGTTATTATGCGCCTAATGGTTACGGAGAAAATTAAAAAAAAATTTTAATTTAAAATTCCCATGTTATTCTTATGGAGAATAAGTAAACTGTTGTAGTTTGCTTGTTTGTGAACATATTTTGATCAAATTTGGAAAATGTTTCTATTTCTTACTAACTATTCACATTTTACAAAAAAAAAAAAACAAAAAAAAACAGTTTTACCCTCCCTGATGCAGCAAACCTAAGTACTTGTTAAACTAATTCTATTTAAATCAAGAATAAATGTTAATATTTTTAAGTAGACATTTCAGTCTAAATCCAATCAGTCAAATGGAAATTCGCTTAGTCTGCAGGTTTGCTGCGGCGGGAGTATTTTTTTTTTTAGGTTGTATACTAATACAGCCTTTTAGCAAATTTCCCTATAGGGAAGTACTATAGGGAAGCTATTAAGAGGGTTCCCTACCCCCGCCTAAAAACGTTAGAAAACCGCTTCGCGCGGTATCATATAGCGATTCTAGTTTTAACATTTAAATTGTGAACCAAACACCATTTTGTACATAAAGAGTGGTTCTACTAAGTTTGCTTTTTAAAAAATGTCTATGCTTACGCAATCAAGGGCAACGACTTGTCAAAGTTAGTGAACTTTACAGTTAAAGTTCACTAACTTTGACAAGTCGTTGCCCTTGATTGCGTAAGCATAGACATTTTTTAAAAAGCAAACTTAGTAGAACCACTCTTTATGTACAAAATGGTGTTTGGTTCACAATTTAAATGTTAAAACTAGAATCGCTATATGATACCGCGCGAAGCGCTTTTCTGACGTTTTTCGGTGGGGGTAGGGAACCCTCTTAAGACTATAAGACCCGGGACCAATTTTCTTTTTCATTTTAATGATCCGAGTGGCCAAAAACACAATTCTTTAAAATGTTTATATATGTATAGATTTATATATAGGTATATATATATACGTCCGTGAACGCGATAACTTGATTAATTTTTGCCCGATTTTGATGAAATTTGGTTTAAAGGTTTAAGGCAGGAAGAACTTGAATGAGTTCCAGAACCAGCGTGATCGAAACCATGAGAACGGGGTTAGGGATTTTATCTTATGGGATCAAAAATGGTTTTTCTCATTTTTGACCCTCAAAACACAAAATTTCCCAATTTCTCTCTAGACCTTTTTAAAGAGCTTAAAAAAACAAATAATTTAGTATATCAAAGTGTTTTTGTACGGTTATTAATAACGGAGATAGGCCTAATAAAAAAATGTAAATTTAAAATTCCTATGTTATTCTTATGGAGAATGTTGTAAAATCTTATAGTTTGCTTGTTTATTGATATATTTTGATTAAACTTGGCAAATTTATTTATTTTATACTAAGGTAGGAATATTTTTCTAGAAACTGCACTTTATTAGCAGCAAATCTAGGTACTCGTTAAACCTAATGTTATTTAAAAAGATTTAATTGAAAATCAATTCAGACGAATGGAAATTCGCTTAGTCGGCAGGTTTGCTGCGGCAGGGGTATTTTACCACTTATCATGACCCCCTTTTCTTGTTAGGGTGCATAACCCCCTTTTCCCTACATGTATATATAGGCCTAGATGGGAAGTTAGTATGTTGTAATGATGCTCGGGGACTGAAATTATGTATAGCCTATCCCCTATTTTCAGAGCAAAAAATTCAGTGGAATCATCGCTGATCCCCTAAAACCCCCCTTTTTTACTTATTAGGTAAGTAAATATTCCCCTATAGCTGTAGGTATGGGCTATTAATTAATTAACAGCTGTGTCTAAGAATATTAAGGAACATGTCAGCCTTAGTCACTAACAAGACTGCAAGATCGTTTGCACTGGGAAAAAAACATTTTGAAATTGAGCAAACATACCTACCCACATTCTCACAATTATGGTACTAAACCATCTTATCTCCAGGTTTTATTTATTTATTTTTTTTTTTTAATTTTGACTCTTAACGGGGATTTACCGACAGAAAACAGCAATAAACGGTATCAGCATTCTGACACACACTTTCTCCCATAAG